GCCGCTTCAGTTCAACAGCTCCCGCACCGATGAGGTGCCACTTGACTAAATTGTCCTCCCCGGCAGCGCGCGGCCTCTAGGCCTCGGCCGCAGTTTTGACAGGCCTGGTGACGCGGCCGCGCGCTGTCCACCCCGGCAGCAAGCGGCCCTGCCCAGCCTCAGGTGCCCCTAGTCTTGGCCCCTAGTCTCGGCCTGCGCTGTCCACCCCGGCAGCGCGCGGCCCCGCGGCCTCGGCCCCAGTTTTGGTACAGGCACGTCCTTGTACTGCCCCTTGCTGGTAGCCCTGCACGTGCCGTAGCAGCCCTGGCTTGCCTTCGGGGCAGCGCAGGCGTCCGCAGCAGCAAAGTGCGCGGGCTGGCTGCCTTCCGACCGCTGGCGCTGGCGCCGTCGCTGCCTCTCCTCTTCCATGCTCTTCCCCCCCCTCCGCCCTTCGCTTTTCCTCCCCCCGCGAGCCCCCATTGCGCTCGCGGGGCTGCCGCAGCTCGCAACCTCGCCACGCGGTCGGGCACCTGGGCTTGGTCTGGCCGCCTGCCTTGTCACGTGCCACCCACCTGGGCGGCCTACGGCCTACGCCGTTGACTTGGCATCTCGTGTATTATGTCGACGGCGTCACTGCTTCGTTTACTTGCTTTACCTGCACTGGGTCCCGTCAGCGTCCGTCGGTGCCCCGGTGACGCGGCCCGGCAGCTGCCATGGTTTTCGCCGAGGGGGCTGGTGTCGGCAGCGCACTCAGGTGCGAGCTCCTTCACTTATGAGTGGCCTTTTCTTCTCCGCCCCCCCCGCGGCCGCACTTTTTACTCTCGTCCCACTCCTGACATGCTGGCCAATTCGCTTTTCGGTGCGCCCGTCTAGTTCTTTCGCTGGTGTAGCCGACTCATTCTCGCCGCCGACGGAAAAAGTGTGTGTGTGTGTGTGTGTGTGTGTGTGTGTGTGTGTGTGTGTGTGTGTGTGTGTGTGTGTGTGCGTGCCTGCGTGCGTGCGTGCGTGCGTGCGTGCGTGCGTGCGTGCGTGCGTGCGTGCGTGCGTGTGTGTGTGTGTGTGTGTGTGTGTGTGCGGGGGGCTTGGCCTTGGGGGGCCAGAATCGTTCCTGAAAGCCACGGGAGTTACGGCGGCCCAAGACGGCTCTGAATCACCCCCGCGAAGCTTTCCAAGGGCCTCCGACGGCCCAAGATGCGTTTCGAACGGCCCCGGAGGTGTCCATGACGCTCCAGTCGGACCTTTCCAGGAGGACCCTCCAGAGGGCCCATACAAAAAACAATCGTCATTTTATTTTTTTCGGAGAACTTGAATTTGTAACATATTCGCTACTCTGGTTTATACAATACAATACGACCCCAGAGGTCTCCCAAATCGTTCCGATATTGCCCAAGAGGCCCCCAAGAGGACCCCTAAGAGGGCTCCTAGACAGCTCAAAGGGGGTCCCAAGACAGACGAGGAAACCCCGAAGACGGCCCAAGGGGGGGTCCCAAGAGGGCGCCAAAATGGACCCAAGAGGGGTAACCGGAGCTGGTATTTCAAGCCGTCAGCCCACAGATGGCCCCCGAGGACCCCAACAGGCCCTTGACAGGCCCCAGGAGGCCCTCGTGAGGCCCCGCGGAGGCCCAAAAGAGTACCCAGAGTAGCCCCCAATACACCCCAAAGCCCCCAGAACCCCCCAAGAGGCCCCCAACTGGGCTCCGAGAGACTTCCACAGAGACCTTAAGATTCGTCTATGAGGGCTCTGGCCCAAAACTCAGGCGTATTCCGCTGATCGACTCCAGACTGCTGTCAAGGCGGCTCCAGAGGGCCCCGAATCGCCTCCAAGACGTTGCGAGGAGTCTCCGAAAGCACCGAGAGGCAAGCATGCACGTGCGTAATAATGTACCTATACGACCACTGTTCGGGTGGTGATGAGGAGGTGGGGGGGGGGGGGGGGGATAGAACCGAATGCTGGCAAATGTGAGGGGTGTCATGATGACGATGCTGGTGACGCGCCTTCGAGTTAGCGGCGACGCGTGATGACGATGCTGCGCTGTGATGTAATGTCGCTATCGTACCCGCTTTCGATCTCACCCGATCGATCCCATTATCGACCTCACAGGATCGATCACAATCGATCGATCTCACTAGAGAGATCTCACTATCGATGCCACTATTGATTCCTCCATCGATCTCAATCGATCCCACTACTGATCTCACAACCAGCGTCACAGTCAACCTCACTGTCGACCTCACTTTTGATCTCACGATCCATCCCATTCTAGCGATCTCATTGTCGATCTCACTATCGACTTCAGTATCGATACCAAGGTGGGACACCCCTTGCCACCACCCGCCCACCGCCGACGGAACACCGGCAGGACACCAACGGGTCATCAACGGGACACCAACGGGACACCACAGGACACCACGGCGGGACACTCCTGGCCACCGCGCGCCCACCGGGTGCAGAGGGGCGGTCCACTGCATCCGAGTCGCCCTAGCGACGGCGGGGTCATTCCTCTCGCGCGCCCACGCAGCTTTGCCTCGCCAGCACGCGCGACACGGAAACGAAACCGACACTGATTTCCCGGTGGGAGGTTCTCCGTTCCATTGCGATCTCATTCCCAATCTCTGATGAGTTTACTGTCCCACGAGGGCTCTACGAGGTCCCCCTAGAGGACCCGGGGAGGCCGAAATATCGCCTGGTGGCTCCCATTCGGGTGGCCCACATGCCGTGCCTGCTACGTTGCAATGATCATGTGGCCCTGGGAGGAGACACCTCTACCCCGCCAGAACGGCAGTTCTGGTAATTCGGATGCCCCCCTGCGCGAATATGACCCGGGCGAGGCACGTGCCGAAAGAGGCGTGGGGACGCCATGCAAAGCTGTCCATTGGTGCCACAGGTGGAGCTCCTTCGAGCTCCTTCTCAGACATGGTTCTCGTGACGGGTGTGTCGACAAGGGCGCGGGGGCGCTGTACGAACTTTTTCTTTGGGCCTGTGGATGGTTTTTTCTGTGGGCACGATCCGCGTGATGGGGTGTGCCGCAATGGGCGACGGGGGCGCAATGCGAACCCTGCCTCTGGGGCCGTAGCTGGAGATCCCTGTGGGCCACGATCCATGTGAGAGGTGTGCCGAAGTAGGCGGGGGGGCGGGATGCGGACAATGTGTGTGGCCGTCCGTGGATGTCCCTGCGGGCCACGATCAGTATGAGAGGTGTGCCGAATTGGGCGGGGGGACGCTATGAAGCTTTCTGGGCGTCTCCTGGGCTCTCTGGGTCGTCCAACGGCGTTGTTGGCCCATCAGAAGCGTCCGGAAACCATCTCGGGAGCCTCGCGGGGTATTGTCGGAGTATTTCGGTCGCTGTGGGGCCGCGTTGGGCCCCCTTGGTGCGGTCTTTGGACCTTTTAAGCTCTTGGGGGCCATTTTGTAGCGCTTTGGCCGCCTTGGGACCTTCGTGGGGTAGGGTCCCTTTGGCCGCCCCGAGGCTGTCGGACCCACTTGGACTGCTCGAAACCGGACTACGTGAGAAAACGGAAACCAATCAAACGGTTAGAGCAGTCGGTCCCCTCCAGGCCGATTGAGTTTCTTCAGACTGTCCTGGAAAGCCTCGGGTCCTCTGCAGGCTATCGTGGCCGTCTCGGAGGCATGTTGGGCGAACTTGGAGGCATATTGGGACCCTCGTGCCATCTTGGAGGCCACCTGTGACCGTCTCGGGCCGTCTGGGCCCATCTTGAGGATCCTCTTGGGCCAGGTTGGCTGGCTTGGAGGAGGCGAGTTATCTTGATGTTGTGTGCTTTGTGCGGTGGTGTCGGAAGGGCCGAATGTCACAAGGAATCTGTTAGAAAGGCCAACCGTACTATGCAGGCCGCGCACCTCTCTTGCAAGCACTAAGGGCGACGCATCGAAGACTACGGCGAGTCACCGCCGTCCTTTGCCTTCTGTGAGACGCCTATGTGTCTAACCGTTGGGGAGAGTTTGGGCAAGCGTTTGGATTGCGAGCTCCCCCAGCCGTTGTAAAGATCATTTGGGGAACATGGGATGGCATCTGGTGACCCTACTCGGGGTATCTTGTGGGCCTCTGGGGACCATCTTGGGCATCTCTTGGGGGACTGGGGGCGTTTGCTGAGCCTCTTGGGGTGTATTGAGACCATCTTAGGGCGTCTAGGGGCTTCATTGGGTCGTCTTCAAGCCATAAGCCATCTTGGGGCTTTAGAAGGGTGTAAGAAGACCAACGATGCCCCTGAGATGTCCCAAGATGGCCCAAATCTGTTCCAGGATGTATGGCCTTCAGGCGGCCCATCAAGTCCCGAAGACTCCCATGGGGAAATTCAAGAGGAAGGCATTTTTCATTATATGCTAGCCGATGCCAAACACTTTGGACTACAGCCAGAGCTTGCTAGAACTTGAGCGCGCGCGAAACGAGCGTGTGGTTCTAGTATGTTTATAGGTATATATGTATATGCATATTGCTATTTAGGTATATTTGTATGCATGTATATTTGCACATATGTATGTATTAAAGAATACAGATATGTATGTATGCGTATACATATGTGACCCAACTGTATTGCAATACCTGAGGTTATGCATATGTGTAGATTTATGTCTATATCTGCATATATGTATGGTGATGCAGTGCGAGCGGCGCTGCCACACACTCGCATGCAGATTGACTACGGCACACTTTCCATCATGTGTTGGTTTGAAAGGTGCAACGTTGGCAGGGACGAGCAAACGCGCCAGAAAACGACCACGCTCGTCAAGCATCACCAGCGACCACCCCGCTCTGCGATTGATGCCACCATTTAGGAAACGCGCGGAACCATCAGTGAGCTTGATGCCGCCCAAACACCCTGGTGATGGCGGATCCACCTAGTACATATGAAACTTCCTATCACATGAAAACGACGGAACATGAACGAGGTTTACCAGAGACGGGGAAATCGCACAGGCCGCCAACTCCACTCCTGGCACCAGGACTCCAAATGTGCTGGCTCGCATCTCCTGACAAAGCTGGTTGGTGCATACGGCGGTGACGCAATGAGGACGACTCTCGTTCGCCATGTTGGGTCAAAGCAGCGCTTTGGTTCGAATTGTTGTTCCAAGAGCAACGAGTTGAGTACAGAACGACAACTTTTACGGCATCTGGGATTTGAGTGAGCGGCCTCGTCGAGGCGTTCAGCGAGCGGGTGATGGGGTGTGCACAGTTTGTCGGTTCTGATGCCAGCCAGGCGAGGCCTCAGGGAAAGGGGCGCGGCAGCAGGAGGAGGGTCGCACCTCTCCCAGACGACCTTCGGGCAAGCGCTGCCGCCAAGCTGACTCTCAGTGCCAGGGAGCAGTTCGCCTCGGAGTACGAGCTGGGCAGCGCGCTTGGCAGGGGAGCTTTCGGGATCGTGATGTCCGCCCGCAAGAGAAGCTCCCATACAATGGACGCCGTCAAGATCGTGGACTCGGATGAAGGCCAGGACTGGAAGCGGGAGCTCGCCACGCAGGAGGTCGAGGTGTGGCGCGCCGTTGGCAGGCATTCCAACGTCGCGGAGCTGCGCAGGGTGTTTTGTGACAGCCGCGTCGTTTTCATGGTCATGGAGATGTGCGAGTTCACTGTTTCGGAGAAGGCTGACTCCGACCCAGAGCTCCTGCAGTCCAGACTCCCGCACCTCCTGCACCAGATGCTCCTTGGTCTGGAAGCCTGCCACCGGGCTTCGGTGGCTCACCGTGATATCAAGCCGGACAATTATTTGATCGGTCACGATGAGAGCACGGTTAAGCTGTGCGACTTCAACATGTCTGCCCTGCTGTCTCCCGGCCAATCCCTGGTGGGAGAGTTTGGCACCGCGCCTTTCATGTCCCCCGAGATGCTGGTGGCGCGGCACAGCATCGGCACGGACGTTTGGTCTTACGGCGTGATGGTGTATTTCATGTTGTTCGGAGAGCTTCCTTACTTACCGCAGGAAACCACCTCGGACGCGGCGAAGGCGGCCATCCGGGCGGGAGTGCCTGCGCCGAGGTACTTGAAAGTTACGCATCGGATTCGGGGCAGCGACAGCACGAGCTTCTGCAGGGACCTTCTGCAGCGCGAGCCGAGCCAGCGCTGCAGTGCAAGAGACGCCTTGGGCCATCCTTACTTCAATGCTGCATTTGATGCAAAGAAGCGCCCTACCATGACCGGCACACAGGGTATTCTGGGTTCGTTCGAGTCCGCCATGCTGGAGTTGGCCGGCGAAAGCGAGTGCCCTTCGAGTTTCAGCGAGCTGGGTGACTGAGGCTAGCGAGGCGCGGGGCTTGTCTACCAGCGCCTGACGACAAGCCCTCACCGCCATTGCCAGCAACCAGGGAGCAGCTTCGTACAGCTGTTCTTGCGCCTGGTGGTGGATCGCGCTCAGTTTCTTTTCTAAGAATGCAGCCTTCTTGTGGAATAGCCGCAGCAAAGGGCCTCTCCTGCGCCAATGCGTGCAGGTCATGCGCCAGCTCGCAATCGGGCCAATCAGCAGCTCTCAGATGGTGCGCCAAGTGACAGACTTTATCACCGCCCTGGAAGAGCCCTTTCGGCATGTGGATCTGTGTCATCCAGGCTAGGCCCAGAATGGTCATCAAGCTTTCCCACAGCTCATTTGTTCGACAAGTTGTGTTTCGAATCGCGCCCGTAGGCCCAGTGATGGATCGCATTCATGCCGTTTTGCCAGCAGGAGCCTTCTGGTCGAATAATTTGTTTGCGTCTGCGCCAACGCCTGTCGGTCATGTACCAGGTTGCGCCTGGGTGGCAAATGCGTCTCATATGGTATGCCTCGCCTGCGACTTTGTCTCTGCCCTTAGTCCAGAGGAGTCGCATAACTTTTACAATAGCCCAATTTATCCCACGAGTTGCCACTCTTTTTCTGTGTCTCCAGGGGGGCCCAGGTGCCCCGGAGAAACGACGCTTGTCCAATATGCGATTATAGTCTGAACTGTGCCCACTCATGTCATTGCGGTCCCGTTGAACTTGGGATTCGAGAGGCCTTACGGCTGGTGCCGCCGACCCTAAATGACGACGACGACGACGGCGGCGACGATGAAGACGACACCGACGACGACGACGGCGACGACGACACCGACGACGACGACGACACCGACGACGATGATGACGACGACGACGACGACGGCGACGGCGACGGCGACGGCGACGGCGACGGCGACGGCGACGGCGACGGCGACGGCGACGGCGACGGCGACGGCGACGGCGACGGCGACGGCGACGGCGACGGCGACGGCGACCGCGACGGCGACGGCGACGGCGACGTTGACGGCGACGGCGACGGCGACGGCGACGGCGACGGCGACGACGACGACGACGACGACGACGACGACGACGACGACGACGACGACGACGACGACGACGACGACGACGACGACGACGACGACGACTCTCGGGGGCCTCTTGGGGGTAGTTTTGGAGCCTCTCGGGAGGCTCTTGGGGGCCTCCTGGGAGCCTAGTGGGGGCCTCTTGGGGCTTCCTTGGGCTCTCTTGGGGGTCTCTGAGGGGCCTCTTGGGGGGCTTCTTGTGGGCCGCTGGGGGCCTGCTGGGAGCCTCTCAGGCCGAGGGCTCGAACTGTCCGTTCGGGTCCCCCGTCTGGGCTCCCTCTTGGAGCCGTCTTGGGGGCCTCTTGAGCGGTCTAGGAGGCCTCTTGGGCGGTCTTGGGGCTCTCTTGGATCGTTTTGGGGCCCTCTTGGAGGCCTCTTGGGAGATCTTTGGGGTCTCGTGGGCTGTCTTGGATCGTTGGGAAGCCGACAAGGTGAGAACGCCAAAATCTTTCAAAACACTTAGGGAAGGTCGATGGTTTTTAACACGTGGGGCTCTCTTGGGAGTGCTCTTCGAGGCCTTCTGGCGTATTTTGGAAACGCCTTGAGCCGTCTGGAGGCTACTTTGGCGTCTCGGACAGATTCGGGGCCCTCGAGGACCGTCTTTGGGGCCTTTTGGGGCACTCTTGCTGCGTCTTGGGGCTTTTCTGGGTCACAACCACCACCCGGGCCCCAACCCCAGGGACCCCTTCCCAGGAACCCCCCCGTCGTCTCGCTTTGGCTGGCGCGCTTAAGGAGGAGGGCCCAGGGAAAGGAGACAGGTGACGACGGAGACGACGACGGACACGATGAGGAGACGACGGAGACGACACGACGACGACGACGACGACGACGGCGACCAACGGAAGAGCGGCTTCCACACGCCGACAGGGTCGGTGGATTTGCCACTCCTTTTCTGCGTCTCCAGGGGAGCCCAGGTGCCCCGGAGAAACGACGATTGTCAAATTTGTAATTGCAACCTGAACGGTGCCCACTCATGCCATGGCGGTCCCGTTGAACTTGGGATTGGAGAGGCCTTACATACGGCTGGTGCCGCCGACCCTAAATGACGACGACGACGACGGCGGCGACGACGAAGACGACGACGACGGCGACGACGACACCGACGACGACGACGACGACACCGACGACGATGATGGACGACGACGACGACGGCGACGGCGACGGCGACGGCGACGGCGACGGCGACGGCGACGGCGACGGCGACGGCGACGGCGACGGCGACGGCGACGGCGACGGCGACGACGACGGCGACGGCGACGGCGACGGCGACGGCTACGACGACGACGACGACGACGACGACGACGACGGCGACGACGACGACGACGACGACGACGACGACGACGGCGACGACGACGACGACGACGACGACGACGACGACGACGACGACCACGACGACGACGACGACTCTCGGGGGCCTCTTGGGGGTAGTTTTGGAGCCTCGCGGGAGGCTTTCGGGGGCCTCTTGGGGGCCTCCTGGGGGGGGCCTCTTGGGGCTTCCTTGGGCTCTCTTGGGGGTCTCTGAGGGGCCTCTTGGGGGGCTTCTTGTGGGCCGCTGGGAGCCTGCTGGGAGCCTCTCAGGCCGAGGGCTCGAAATGTCCGTTCGGGTCCCCCGTCTGGGCTCCCTCTTGGAGCCGTCTTGGGGGCCTCTTGAGCGGTCTAGGAGGCCTCTTGGGCGGTCCTGGGGCTCTCTTGGATCGTTTTGGGGCCCTCTTGGAGGCCTCTTGGGAGATCTTTGGGGTCTCGTGGGCTGTCTTGGATCGTCGGGAAGCCGACAAGGTGAGAACGCGAAAATCTTTCAAAACTTAGGGAAGGTCGATGGTTTTTGCCACGTGGGGCTCTCTTGGGAGTGCTCTTCGAGGCCTTCTGGCGTATTTTGGAAACGCCTTGAGCCGTCTGGAGGCTACTTTGGCGTCTCGGACAGATTCGGGGCCCTCGAGGACCGTCTTTGGGGCCTTTTGGGGCACTCTTGCTGCGTCTTGGGGCTTTTCTGGGTCCCGACCACCCCCCGGGCCCCAACCCCCAGGACCCCCTCCCAGGACCCCCCCCCGTCGTCTCGCTTTGGCTGGCGCGCTTAAGGAGGAGGGCCCACGGAAAGGAGACGGGGGACGATGGAGACGACGACTGACGGAGACGACGACGGACACGATGAGGAGACGACGGAGACGACACGACGACGACGACGACGACGGCGACCAACGGAAGAGCGGCTTCCACACGCCGACAGGGTCGGTGGATTTGCCACTCCTTTTCTGCGTCTCCAGGGGAGCCCAAGTGCCCCGGAGAAACGACGACTGTCAAAATTGTAATTGCAACCTGAACTGTGCCCACTCATGCCATGACGGTCTCGTTGAACTTCGGATTTTTCGAGTTCATCCACCTGCCGTCACGCGGTGGGGACTGCCACGGGCCACAGGTCATGGAATCTTGCAGCACCTTAGACACACGCGTAGTGCAGTACCTCTTCCCGCCGCTGGACAGCTCGCCGTTCCTGTTGGCCGGCTGGCGTTCGTGCGAGCATTGCATTCCCGGATAGTGGGTTGGTCAGTGTTCGTGCTTGCACCCGTGCGTATGTCGACTACACGTAAGGGTGACCCTTCGCAGGAGTGACCTTTGGTGCGGGCTCACCAGGGCCCCCCGATCGTTTAGCGCGATGCCATAGCGGCTGCTTGCGCGCTTGGACTTGGCCACCTTGCGGTTCCTTGGTCCGCGCACCACATGTCATTCTTGCTTAGGGTCACTCTTGCGTGTAGCCGAGTGTGTGTTTTCTGTTGACTTCGGAGTGTTTTGAAAGGCTTTTCCCTGTGTAGTGCAAGCAGCGCGCTCTGTTGAGGGACAGGCGCCCCGCCTGCCACCGACTCAGTGCCAGCTCTCTCCCCACTCGGTCTTGACGGTCTGGGAGAGCGGTCTTACAGACAAATATCGCGGCGAAGAACCCAACCATACAGTGGAGACCCATACCAAGAAGCACCCGGCATGCCTCCAGGGTTCGCTGGGTTTCTTGGGCTTCGATAGTTTTGCTGTGGATATCGCGATGTTCCTACACCAAAAAATGGAAGTCCTCGGGTCGCAGGGTTGGGTTTCTTGTGGAAGGTTTCTTGTGAACTGGCCTCCACTGTATCCTGGCGAAGGGCCCAACCAGATGCAGCTGCGAATTCCGCTTGGCAGGCGTAACTGGTTTCGGAAGCGGTCTTTTTTCTAACAGGCAGAGCGCCGCAAAGGACGGAGCGCAGGGTAGCGTGGACAGGTGGCGGCGGACGGATCACGAGGTCCCTGTAGGGCGAGCGAAATGAGAGGTGCGGACGCATGCGAACGTTGCCACTTGGGCCTTCGGTGGATCTCCCTATGGGGTCAAGAAGCGTTTGAGGGGTGTGCCGCAGTCAGAGGCGCGGACGCATGCTAATGCTGCCAGTGGGGCCCTTCGGTGGAGCCTCCTCTTGGGCCGCGAACCGAGTCAGGGGCGTGCCGAAATGAGAGTCGCGGACGCAGGCGAACGCTGTTATTGGGGCCTTCGGTGCAGCTCCCTATGGGGCCACGAAGGGTGTGAGGGGTGTGCCCGAATTATAGGTGCGGACGTATGCAAAAGGTGCCACTGGGGCCTTCGGTGTAGCTGCCTGTGGGGCCACGACACGTGTGATGGAGGGCAGAGGCGCGGCTGGGAGGAGGAGGAAGAGGAGGAGGAGGAGGAGGACGAGGAGGCGAGGAGGAGGAGAAAGAGGAGGCGGAGAATGAGGATGAGGAGGCGGAGGAGGAGAGGAGATGAGAGGAGGACGCGGGGCACTGCCTCTTCAAAACGAGGACCCAACACCACATGATGTTTCGGGAGATAGGAGGGTGCAGGACTCTCCATCGCAATCGAAAAACACTCCTGACGAAGCAGTGCCATGCTCACAGTGCTTCTGTTGCGATCCAGTGAGACTGACGAGGCCGTGGCTGGGCAAAGCTTCAACATCAGACCTCGCCAATGCGGCTCTGTCGGCCAGCATGCGACAGTGGCGGGGAGCAAATCATACGATGCCGAATTTCTATGTCGTTCAGTGGCCAGATCAATCCAGACACGGAGAGAAGCAATCCATGCTCTAGGGATCAGGCGACGCCCCTCTTCATTTCCGAGGCGGCCAACTTGTGTCGAGCAGCTTCGCAAGAATGTTCCAACACTTTGAGGCTACGCGAGCCCTCCCGGTCGGTCGAGTCCTGGACGGGTCCTCCGCCCTGCCTCTGGTTTCCTCCCTCATGCCTCCTCCTCCCCCTCCTCCTGCTGCTCCTGCTCCTCCTCCTCCCCCTCCTCCTGCTGCTGCTGCTCCTCCTCCTCTTTTTCCCCGCTCCCTCTCGCGCTCTGCCTCCTGCCCTCTGCCTTCTGCCTCCCCCCGGCCTCCTCCTCCGCCCCCCTCCCCTTGTCGGGCGTCCGTGCCTGTGCTGGAGGCGGCCACCCTTCCCTTGAGTTTCCCCGCTAAGCAGAGGTCCAGAGCCAGACCCCCCCCCTCCCCCCCTCTTCGCTCAACGTCGAAACGCAGAACAGGAAAACGTTCACCTGGGGAACCTTCCAGCTGCCCACCCGCGCGGCACCCGAACAGGCTAGTGGGGTCCTGGTCCTGGTCCCGGTATCGGTTATGGCCAGGCCATGGGGTGTACGGCAGGCTCAGGTTGCGTCGATTCGGCGGCGACGGCGGCGATAGCGTCCAGTGTTAAGGCCACCGTCAGCATGAGCCAGGCCAGTGTTGAACGGTCTCCGCTGTCGGATAGCGGAGATCGATCAATATTTAACGATCCACGCGGTGCCAGAAACTGACGTCCACGTCGGCACGGCAGGAATTTTACGCATCCTCCACGGCGCGCAACCGTGAAGCGGTATTGCGACGCATTGTAAGGCCACGGCATTTGTGCTCATGTGCTTTGCACTCAGCTTTGTCTCGCCCCCAATCCTGGGCTCAGGATTGGTCTTGCCAGGATCGGTGCTACGTGAACAGCCAGCATCCTTGCATCCTCCTGCTCATCCTGCTCCCTCCTGCCTCGTCTCTGCACGCCGCCACCGCTGTATGCGAGCCGCTCGCCGAGGTTTTTACGAGCTGTCCGAGACGGTGTACACTGGGAGATCCTGCGCATCGTGGCCGATTTGCCCCCAAACGCACACTCGTCTATACTTCTATGTGCTTTACCATCAAAAATAAGTGTGCATGTATACATATATATATATATATACATGTATGGATTCTGACTGTTTCCTCTACTAAAATGCTCGCTCAGTTTTGTTGGAGGGTTTTCGGTCCCCCTTTCACGCTTCAAGGCGTGTTTTTTGGGGGGTGTTCGTGTTGCGGGAGTCTTCGACCCCCTTTCTTCTAGGCCAGGACCCAAACATGCATGAATACACGTGCTCTCAGTCCCTGTTCCCCAGCTCCCTCACAGGCCCCCCCCGATTCGAGAGCAGC